GGCGTCGATCGGGGCCGTTCGCATGGGGGCCCAGCGAATACGTCAATTACGCGATGGAGTTCTACATCGGCGCACGGGTCTCAGTCGACATCGTGCTCAAGGGCGATTCGGATGCATCGCTGCAGGCGGTGATCACGGCGGGCGCGAACAGCAGGGGGCGTTGCGCGCTGGTGGAGAAGTCGCCGCAGGGATCTCACCAGGGCAACGGGCGGGGCGATCGATACTGCCGCAAGGCGCATGACGAGGATCGCGAGGATCTCCGACGAGGCTGAGCCCCAGATAGAGACGGCGATTCCAGCTGACCCAGCTCAAGCCGCAGGACGCGGAGCTCGCCCGGAACCTCCAGCAGCAGCATCACCGTCTGAAGATGCTCGAGTGCAAGAACCGAGGTTTGCTGAGACGGGACTGCACGTTGGGGGGTATGAATTCGGCCGAGACCAGCTGGCCGAGGCAGGCGCGGAGACTAGATGAGCAGAACATGGAGGTCGGCAGCCCGATGTCGATCGCGAAGATAGAGGAGAGGCGCGTTGACCAGGAGATCGAGCCGAGCGTGGATGACGACAGGCCCGTGGGAGATGGAGCCCATTGGGACGCGCGCGCAGGCGAGGAGCTCACGAGGGACCTGGTCACCAACGGGAGGGCTATGAAGATGGAAGGCATGGAGGTGTTTGAGGTGTTCGAGCGGGTTAAATTCGGGGAGTGGCTGCAGCCCCCGGAAACTCAGAAGATTGGCAGCAATAAATTCGACCTGCAGGAAACGAGTGGATCGCGGGGGCCCGTCGCGTTCACGGGCGGCGCAGCGGCGGGCAGGCCCCGCCAACTTCGCGGGTTTCCCGGGCGCTCGAGCGCCTCGGGCGGCGAAGTCGGCTATCTCGAGGGCAGCGTCGACGAGCTCAACGGAGGCGCGGCTAAGGGAGCGCGGGCTCTACGGCATATCAGTTGCTTTCTTCCGCGCGTCGCCGACGCAAACACGGTCTTGTCGGCCGCCGCCTTGCCGGCGACGACCTGGGATCGCATTGGGGGCCGCAGAAGTCCACGCATGGCGCGCCAGAGGCGGCGATGGCATTCCACGGCGAGGTGCGCGACAACTTCAGTTAGAACGCGCGTGGATTTGACGACGGTGTAGGTTGCAATCCCCGGGTCCATTCTCAACGCGTCGGTCGCGGGAATGATTTTGTCGCGGGGGCAGACGACGAGGAGCTGAAACAGTTCGACGGGACCATGGCCAATCGATTCGCTGTGAAGCCTCAGCCGCGAGCGGGGCCTGGAAGAGCAGCTGAATGGGCGCGTCTCAACAGGGCGGTGCTTCGGGGCGAGGAGGGCTTCGGCATCTTGCCAGACCCGAAGCTGCTCTCTGAGACGGTGGAGCTGCGCGACCTGAAGCAGGCCGCGCCGGCAGACGCACCAAGTGCAAATCACGCGGCGAAGGGGGGCTCGTGAAGCCAAAAGGCCCAGTGGCAAGTCAGGGCAAGATGGGGCGCAGGAGCAGCCTCGGGATTGCTCAGTGCCTGGCGGGCGACGGCTGGGATACTCAAGAAGCCGTTCACGAGCACAGATGTTCGCGTAGCGACCCGACCGGAACGCATCCCGAAGCAGACGCATCGTGAGGCACCTGGAGGGGGCGGCCGACATCGTGGTCTTCTACCTGCATCAGGAGGAGACTTTCAAGATGAACGCGTCGGTGGACGCAGACTGGGTTGGACAGGAGACTACCTGAAAGAGCATTTCATCGGACGTTATTCGCTCGGGCACTCATATGTTGGAGAGTTGGGGTCTCAAGCGACGGCGGCATGGGGTCGGGCACCGCAAGAGGGCCCCACTTTCGAGCGCGCGGTGCAGGAGACGGCGGATATGAAAAAGGGGCGTGATGCACAGACATGGAGTCGGACGTGTCCGACATCTACAAACGCGGTGGATTTGGGTTCGGCACTTCGTCCGCGACGGCGAGATGGAGACTGCGAAGGTGAACGACGCGGAGCAGGTGGCGGACATAGGTGCCAAAATGATGGAAGGAGACGCCGAGGAGGCACATGAGGGCGCTGGGGCTCATGCCATTGAAGATGAAGCGTTCATGGAGCCCGAAGTTCTTACCTGGGCGCTGGCGGTGATGAGCGTGGCCATGCAAGCGGAGTCCAATGAGTAGACTTGAGACGATGAGGCGAGCGTTCAGACCAACATGAAGGGCGAGGTCAATTGGTGGACTTTGCTCTCACACGCGGCGATGAAGGCGATGACCAAGAGGTTGGAGTCAGACACGTGGGCCACGCCCTTTCGATCTGTACCGGAGGGTGTTCGGGAGTGCGGCCGGCAAGCGGAGTTCCCCGTCGAGAAGGCGAAGGCGGGCAGCATCGCCAGAGCCAGAGGTGCAGTCCAAGAAGTGCAGATCAGTTGCAGCGCAGGGTCCGGCGGCCCACGGGAGAGGAGCAGGCTCATGCAGCCGACGGACCCTCGATGGCAAGTTCGAAAAATCAAATGTTGGTGGAGCGGGGCTGACCATCGGGACGCTTGCTGCGGCGTTTGACCAGCTCCAGCGGCAGCTGCGCGCGCGAATCTTTGAGAGAATGCGCCGGTGATGAGGTATCCTTTGCCATCGGAGGTGAGGGGGTGAGATCGAAGTGGAAAGGAGAGCCCCCCTACCAGGAAATCGATTTCGGTTTCGTGTTCGTGCGTGCCGCGCGTGCAGGCGAGGCGAAGCTGCGTGGGCGGGGGAGAAGAGAGTCTCCTGTAGCTGAAGAGCGGCCGGACCAAATGATTCCGGACCGGCGCCCGGTGGCCCGCGGTGCCCCGCCGGTGTCCCGCCTCCGGCTGAGGCGCGGCCGGACCAAATGATTCCGGACCGGCGTCCGGTGGCCCGCGGTGCCCCGCCGGTGGCTCGCCTCCGGCTAAGGCGCGGCCAGACCAAATGATTCCGGACCGGCGTCCGGTGGCCCGCGGTGTCCCGTGTCCCGCCGGTGTCCCGTCGGTGCCCCGATGATGATGATGATGATGATGATGATGATGATGATGATGATGATGATGACGATGATGATGGTGATGATGTGGATGATGATGATGGTAATGGTGATGGTGGTAATGATGGTGGTGTCCCGATAATGTTGGTTATGGTGTTGACGATGTTGTTGATGATGATGATGGTGATGGCCATGGTGGTGATGATGATGTTGTCCCGATGATGATGATGATGATGATGATGTTGATGATGTTGATGTTGCTGATGATGACGGTGTCCCGATGATGCTGATGTTGATGATCCTCATGATGTTGATGATAAGATGATGATGGTGATGATGAAGATGATGGTGATGGTGTCCCGATGATTGGGATGACGAGGTTGATGATGCTGTTGCTGATGATGATGGTGATGATGATGGTGTCCCGATGATGATGATGATGGTGTGCTGATGACGATGAAAGTGTCCCTATGGTGCTGATGATGTTGATGATGAGGATGATGACGATGTGATGATGATGATGATAATGTTGATGATTGTGGCCCGATGATGATGATGATCATGGTGGTGATGATGATGGTGTCCCGATGATGCTGATGATGATGATGGTGTGATGATGATGCTGACGATGATGATGGTGTCCCGATGATGGTGATGATGCTGATGATGATGGTTTCGCGATGATGGTGATGATGTTGATGATATTGCTTTTCGTGATGATGATGATCTGATGATGATGGAAGTGTTCCGATGATGATCACGCTTGTGTCCTGATGATGATGATAATCATGGTGACGATGATGGTGTCCCGATGATGGTGATGATGATGATGATGATGATGATGATGATGATGTTGATGACGCCGATGACGTTGATGACGATGATGTTGTTGTTGATGATGATGATGACGTTGATTGTGGGATCGTTTGTGATATCGATAGTGAGATCGGTAGTGAAACCGCATGTGAGATCGATTGTGAGATCGATAGTCAGATCGATTGTGAGATCGATCGAATGAAATAGATCAAGCGAGATCGATTGTGAGATCGATCGGGTGAGATCGATCGAGCGAGACCGATAGTGAGATCGATAGTGAGATCAATAGTGAGACCGATCGAGTGAGACGTTGGTTCCTCCCCCCCGAACCTCCTTATCATCCGAAGGGTGGTCGTATAGGTAGCGTTTTCACAGCAGCCTCGAGGAGGGCTGCAGGGCTTCACGACGTACGAGCTGACTCGATGGACTGTCAATGGTTTGGTTCGGAGAAAAGGAACCCAGGGCCACCGCCATTCTGCAACATTGCACAACGATTCCGCCGCAGGCGCCGAATTTCGTCCAAGAAATGCAGGTGGAAAACAATGTAGGTGGGTCGCGGGTAGATCGCTGGGTGGGTCGCGGGTGGGTCGCAGGTGGGTCGCGGGCGTAGACGACGACAACAACAACAAGGAAGCAGATTCCGCACCGCGGAACCCCATTTCAACCACGCATCCAGGGATGGCGTCAGACCGTTCGGCCACTTCCCTGCGACAAGCACACTATCGGAGGTCCGGGTGGATTTGTTGTGGATCGGTGCTAAAAACCCGCGCCAGGGAGGGGGGGTCCAGCGCCGATCCGACCGTAGCTGCGGCAGTTAGCCTCCCCATCGAACAAACAACAGCGGTATAAGCATGAGATGTCGGATGTCCAGGCGCATGCGTTTTGGATCGGCGTTGGACACCCCCGTCCGTGGCTAGCTCCGCGCACCGGGGGGGGGGCGGAGGTCCAGGCCTGACGCAAAAGACCCGCACGGATCTTCGAATGGTGATGCGTATGCACATGTGTGATTTCTTCTTCCCCCATCCCACCCAGCGCCACTGGCAGCCAGGCGGCGCCTCGAACGCCCGACGCCGATGCCGGCGCCGATGGCGACGCCGATGCGGACGCCGACGACGCCGACGCCGCCGCCGCCGCCGCCGACGACGACGACGACGACGATTCCGATGCCGACGCCGATGCCGGCGACGACGATGCCGACGGCGACGCCGACGACGACCCCTCCCCCCGGGCCGAGGATAGAGAAGAAGAGCCCGGAAGCGCTCGACGCGATGCGGAAGGCTGGGGCGCTGCCCCCTTGGGTGCCCGTCCTCCTCTCGCCGCCCCCCCTCTCGTGCCCGTGGCGCTGCCCGCCTGCCCCCCTGCCCTGGCCTCCCCCCCCCCGTCTCCGGCCTCGCGGCGGGCAGTGCAGCCACGTGGCGTGACGGCGGCGGCGGCGGCGAGGCCAGCAGGGCCATCCACAAGGGGGGGAGGGGGAGAGAGAGGGAGAACCAGACAGCAAGGACAAGAAACCGGATGCCTGGCTTTCCGAGTCCTGGATTCTCCAGGACTCGCTCTTCTCCCCTCTGATGCCTGCCTCCCCAATTCCTCCTTCTCTTCCTCCTCATGTTTCTCCTCCTCCTCATCCTCCTCCGCCCCCGCATCCCTGCTTCTGAAGCTGATCATCGTCCTGATCCTCCTCTTTCTCCTCCTCCTCCTCCTCCGCCGCCTCCTTCTCATCCTCCTCATCCTCCTCCTCCTCCTCATCATCATCATCAGCATCATCACCATTATCATCGTCCCCTTCCCCATGTCCAGTGTCTTCTCCTCCATCCTCCCCCTCCTCCCATGCTCCCCCTCCTGCATCATCCCTCCTCATCTCCTCCTCACCCTGCCCCCCCCTCCCCCCTCATCCCTCCTGCTCCGCTCCCCTATACAATTACACAATATGAAAATACTCTCCCACTTCCCCTGATGGCGTCCCGAAGATATCCGACCCCCCCCCGCGTACTGTTTTTCTACACACAGGATTCCCGGGAAACGGGTTTTCGCCTGCGTTTTTTTTCAAAATGCTGCTCTCGCTGAGGCGCCGGCCTCATTTCTGCTCCCGAATCGTTCCGAATCGTGCTCCCGATGCAGCGTGGGCTTCATTTTCGGATCGGTGTTTGGCTTCCGTCGTTCAGGATGGCGTTCTCGCCCCAGCGTGGGCCTCTTTCTCGCGCGCCCATCCGCCCGCCACCACCGCGCCGCACCACCACCACCACCACCCACCACCACCACCACCACCACCACCACCACCACCACCAGCACCACCACCACCACCACCACCACCACCACCACAACCACGCACGCACGCACGCACGCACGCACGCGCACCACCACCCACTACGCACGCGCGCGCGGAGCCACAGGTCCGCTACGACACGCGTCCGCGGATAGAGGAAATCAGCGCCATGGTAATGGATGGGAGGGAGGGGTAGGACGTCAGATATGACGCGAGCGCACCTAGCTTGCCCTCCCTCCCCTCCCTCCCTCCCTCAAACGATCGATCCCTCCCCTCCCTCCCTCCCCGCCCTTCCCCCTGCCTTCCTCCATGCCCACCTCCCCCGCGCTTTGGCATCGCTCGGACATGTGCGCCTGTTTTTCTCGGCCACGACCCTCAAGGAGCATGTTTGCTCCCCTTGCGAGCAAAAGTGCACGCGCGAAACCGACGAAGCGCACAGGGAATGGACGTCCGAGCGAAAGGCAAGCCCACTGCCGCGCCCCCCACCAAATGTGCCGTTTGCGGCGTTTTGGTGCTCAAATGTGTCGTTTGCGGCGTTTCGGTGTTCAAATTTGCTGATTGCGACGCTTCGGTGCTCAAGCGTGTCGTTTGCAGCGTTTCGATGCTCAAATCTGCCGTTTGCGGCGTCTTGGTGGTCAAAGTTGGTGTTTGCGGCGCTGCAGGACCAGCCCAGGCGCCCAAGACACTCGGCTCCGCTCCGCGTCCACCGCTCCGCGTGCGCCGCCCCGCGCGGAGGCCGGCCGGCTCGCCAGCGCGGCCCTGGACCTGGCGGGGGAGATGATAGGACGACGCCGTTTGGGGGGGATTTATCCGCCTCGTCCTCCTCCTTGTCCTTCCCCTCCTCCCTCCTCCTCGCTCTCCTACCCGTCCTTGTTGTCCTCCTCCTCCACCTCCTCTCCCTCCCCCTCCTTTTTGTCTTCCTCATCATCATCTTCCTCCTCCTCCTCCTCCTCCTCCTACTCCTCCTTCCCATCCCAAATGTCTCCCCCTCCTACCCCTCTCCCTTGTGGCCCGAGCAGCGTAGCAACGCTGAGATGCTTCGTCGCTTGACTTTACGTGACCAACCCGCCCAGGACCTTGTGGTTTCGCTATCGAGGGCCTATCGCCGATCTATCGGCGACGCATTGCCGATAAGACGGCGCCCTTTGGGGAAGTGGGGGGAAGGTTCCCTAGACAGGAACTTTTCCATAAAACACCGCCGGGGGGATCGATCTTCGGGGACCTCTACAGGCGGGGTGGGTATGGGCATGTTTGGGCAACTGGGGCCAGAGGTCGATAAACGCGGCAATGGCTATGGATGAACCCCCGCCTCGCAGGGTTGCTTTCGGCGTCGCTCCAAACGGCCAGCGCACTCTGTTTCCGCTGTTTGGGGCTTTCGAGTATTGCGTCCGTGGTCGGTTCGGTGTTCGGTTCCGTGCTCCGAAGATTTGCAAGTTGTTGTTTGTTGTCAGTTGTCCTTGCGGTTTGCCACCAAGTTGTAAGTACGTGTTTAGCTCTCCGCATGCCCCCTCACCCGTCCGAGCTGATTGCTTTCGGTTCCCAATGCGTTTCCCATGCGTCCTCAGTGCTCTCATATCGCAACCGGTATTGCACATTCCTGAGCTACCCGTATGCAGTTACCGTGGTATCCCCGGTCCAATCGCCAGGTCGCGCCATTCTCGATGTGTTGCTGCTCACACCCTCAGGAAACAATCATCCACCGAACGCTCCCACTTCGCACACAGGCTGTGGCGGACGAGACTCAGGCCCTGGCCCAAAGCGGAATAAGGCCTAAAGGCCTCACCTTTCTTGAGGGTTTGCCCAGAATCTATGTGTATATATATAAATATATAACAAAAAATGCAGGGGGCTCGCGACGGGGCGCTTTTTCCAATGGGTTCGGGAGTTCGACAAAATCTTCGACTATTGCCCTGGGCAACTGCAAGCAAAAACGAGGGTCACACGCGTCCCAGCGGACGGGCTGAAAAAAACGGGCCGCATCGAAAACCTGCTCGGCCGTGGCCGGAGGGAGGCCTCCATGAATCTCCCAAGACAGCATTCTCATCATTATCCCTTAACCCATCCTCCACATCCTTCTCATCATCATCCTCCTTTTCCTCTTCCTCCTCCTTTTCCTCCCTCCTCCTCCTCTTCTTCCTCCTCGTCGTCCTCCTCCTCCTCCTCCTCCCTACGGGGCAGCCACTCCTGCAGGGTTTGGTCAAGCGCTTGCTGACCCACCAAGAGGGCATGTGTTCCCCCCTTCCTTATTCAGGATTCGCAGAGACAGGAGCAGGTGGGGGAGCGGGGCCCTTTGAACACTTGTGGGCGGCCCTGGCACCTCTGTCGGTCGACGCCTGGTCCCGCGCTCTCCGTTTCTGGCAGCTTTCCGCTGTTTCTTGGCGCAGCCGACGCTTAACCTCATCCTGAATGCGGCTAATGGCCCTGTCCCTGGTCATCGGATCCTGGAGTTGGCTCAAAACCAGACCCCCCTACTAGGGGGACACACAACGGAAACCCCTTCCTCAAGGTCGGGGAACATGCCATTGTGAGACGGCGTAGCTGCTGAACCTGGGTGTCGCCGAACAGGCTAGCGAGCGGCTGGGGCAACCTCATCAGCCTGTTCTTGTCTCCAAGAGGCGAGCCTGTGCGGAGACAGCCGCCTCTCGGTCTCACGTTGGCTCCCGAGGTGGAGGTCTTGTCCCCAAGAGGTCTTTGGACGATACAAGTTGCCATTGACAGCCCGTGAACCTACCCACTAGATTCTTGTCCGAGATTTGATGGACATGGCAGAGGGCCCCCCCGCTTGTTCAAACCAAAGCGCCGCCGCTGCCTGAGGATCGAGCCCCGAGCAGCAGTAGCCTCCCAAGTTCCAGGGGAGACCATGGACGTCTGCTCCGCCTTGCTGGGCGGCAGCGGCAAGCTCTCGGGATAATGTGTTGCCGTTCTTTGGCTTGCCCTCCTAAACCTCTGAGCCTAAGAACAGGTGCCTTGCGCGGGCCGACTGGTGCGTCATCAATGCAGTTGCAGTTGTTCGTGTGTAAATGCAGGAATCGGCTGAAACTACCATGGCACGTTGGCCCTGGTGGTCCGATCACGCTGCCCCTGAGGCGCTCCAGCTATCCCGACTCACGGAGCTCCTCAGCCTCTAGATCCCAGTCCCCCCGATACATCGGGGATGTTTGTTTCGGCGATCACCTCGCTCAGAGCCTCCAAACACAGTCTAGGCCCGCTGAACCCAAGCGCGGCGTGCCCGTACACTGACACAACAAGGAATTGTTGTTGGGCCGACAGTTGCATTCGGAATACGACGATTCGTTCCGACAACTTGGCGCGTTCAAACGAAGGCGTCCCACAACTGGCTTCGGGTCAGCGCGGCTACCCCGCCCGGGGTACCCAGCAGCCCTTCGCCCATGAGCGCAGCAGGCTGAACGGCAAAAGAGCAGCCCGCTGTGCGAGCCCAGTTCCGAGGCGCAGGGACCTGAGCTCTTCCTGAGCCTGTGTTCCCGGAAAAAAAGAGAGAAGCAAACACAACAAATTTAAACAGTCGGGTTCGCTGCGCTTGACCTCCTGGGCCCACTCTGGGAACTCGAAGGCCAGTCGACCACGCATGCCAGTCGCACGAAACCATCTGCAGCTCATCTCATCCGTGAAGCCTCCCGCGTGAGGCGGTGGAGCGGCCCCGGGGCCCCCGTGCAGCTGGGCTCGCGCGCGGCTTGTGGGGGCCGCGCCTGGTGGAGTCGTGGGTCGGGTCCCGTGCCGGGGTTGCCCCGAGGCAGCACCCGCCCCGCCCTGCCTCGGTGGTGCCAGGCACGACTAGTGGGGTCCGCAGGTGGTCGCGAGGCACTCGCCCAGCCTGTGAGCGCGGGAGAGCCTCCGCCGCGATGGTCGGGTGAGGGCCTCGCCCGCCGGCGGAGGGGGACTCCCGCCCACGGCTGCCAGACCCTTCGCGGCTCCGCGGCACGGCCCGGTGCGCGGCGCTCGGGTTAGCCCTCCCCAGCCTGAAGCCGAACCATTGTGCGCCATTGATGTCCTCCACCTCCTCCTCGTCCTCCTCCTCTTCCTCCCTCCCCCTCCTCCTGCTCCTCCTCATCATCATCCTCCTTCATCTGGTCGTCGTGCTACTCCTCCTCCTCCTCCTCCTCCTCCTCCTCTTCCTCCTCCTCCTTCTCCTGCTCCCTCGCGTCGTCGTCCTCCTCTTCCTCCTCCTCTTCCTCCTCCTCCTCCTCCTCCTCCTCCTCCGCCTCCGCCTCCGCCTCCGCCTCCTCCCTCTCCTCCTCCTCCTCCTCCTCCTCCTCCTCCTCCTCCTCCGCCTCCTCCTCCTCCTCCTCCTCCTCCTCCTTCTCCCCCTCATCGTCATCATCATCATCAGCATCATCATCATCATCATCATCATCATCATCATCGTCATCATCATCATCATCATCAGCAGCAGCAGCAGCCGCATCATCATCATCATCATCATCATCATCATCATCATCATCATCATCATCATCATCATCATCATCATCCTCATCATCGCCATCATCATCATCATCATCATCATCATCATCATCATCATCATCATCACCATCATCACCACCATCATTATTAGCATCATCATCAGCAGCAGCAGCATCAGCATCAGCATCCGCATCATCATCAGCATCAGCATCATCAGCATCATCAGCATCATCATCAGCATCAGCATCAGCATCATCATCAGCATCATCATCATCATCGCGCCAAGCTCTGCCCTTGCCAGTGGGCTGGGCGGCGCCTCTCGGTTCTGTGGCGTCGGCCACCTGCGCGCCTGCGGGCCCGCCGACGCTTTTGCGTGGGAGAGGGTCTCGGCCACCCGCATGTTGGTGGCCTCGCTGTCGCGCCCTTTGCGCATCGCCCCCCTCAGGGTCTGCCCTAGCTCGAAGAAGAAGAAGAACAAGAAACAACGGGTTTCTTGCATCCGCGTTGGGCCCCCTGGTTGCGCGAGAGGCGCACTCTGCGCGCCAGGGAGGGGAGGTCGAGCGCATATAGCCAAGGAATCCACGCGGAGCGCCAAATGTTTATGGTTATGGTGTTGCTTTTCTTCTGCTAGCTCTTGGCTTGCGGGCTCCCCTAGGGTTGCCGCGAGCCCCGGGCCCCGCTGGAAGTAGCATTCATCTTAGCTCACCCACCATTTGGTTGGAAATACATGTTCGGAAATAGATTGGCCTTCTCCGACTGGCAGTGGGGCCATCGTTGCCCTCGCAGTGTTGCACCACAGCATCTCGACATGCACGGGCAGTGGACTCACCCCACCCCCCAAGCTGGCTCCCAGGGGCCACCACCACCGCCATAGTGCTGCACAGCAACATCCCGACCCGCGGCGGTAGCGGGCTCATCCCGTGGGGGTCGCAGCAGAATGCGACGAGGCGGCGCTCCAGGCCGTGACACTGCTGGTCTGGGGCTTCGGCCACCCGCACATGTGCGGCCCGGGCGAACGGCTGGGCTGGGGGGAGAGTTGCGACCACCCGCATGTTTGCGGCCTCCCCCTCCTCCTCCTCCTCCTCCTCCTCCTCCTCCTCCTCCTTCTCCTCCGCCTCCGCCTCCGCCTCCTCCTCCTCCTCCTCCTCCTCCTCCTCTTCATCCTAATCCTCCTCCTCCTCCTCCTCCTCCTTCTCCGTCTCCTTCTCCGCCTCCGCTCCTCCTCCTCCTCCTCCTCCTCCTCCTCCTCCTCCTCCTCCTCATCATCATCATCATCATCATCATCATCATCATCATCATCATCATCATCATCTTTCTCCCGCGACGATCCCCCTTTAGGGTCTGCTCCAGCTCCTGGCCTTCGGGCTCCCCATAAGGGCGGCCATGCGCCCCGAGGAACGCGGGCGCCCCTTGGCTCTCCGGGAGGGCACTGAACATCTGGACGACAGTGTCAAGCCCCGTCAAGTGTACCCTCACAAAGACTTGCCACGCGTCCTGAGTGTAGGTCTCTATCGCGTGTGGAATGTCGCCCTCCTGGCATTTCCCGTGTCCCAGGCTTCTTAACACATGTCGTGAGCAGCCGCCAACAGCGAACCCGCCAGGTTCAGGAGGTCGACCATGTTCTCCGTGCACCACTGCATACGCTTGCCATGACCCTCCTGCGCCTCCCCTCGCAGGTTCCGAAGCCCTCGGGAGCTCCATGCCGACACGTCTTGCCATAATTCGCGTCGGACCCTGGCTGGGTCTGGTGCCGCAGGTAGCAGCCCACGTGGCGGACGCCCCATCGCCTGGATGCCTTCGATCTCCTTTCGACAAAAAGGCCAACACGATTTGGTCTGCGGGTCGAGAGCGAGCCTCTTCTGGTTAAAAGCTAGGCGGGCTACGCAAAGCTCTAATTGGGGAGACAGAGCACAGGCGGGCGGGGCCTCAGGCGGCCGGAGGGCGGGCCGGGGACAAAAATGCCAACACGATGGGTTTAAAGACTGGCTCGAGCCACCTGCCTGGCCACAGCTGCCCTCGCCGCTGCAATGACGGGCTTGCCCCTCTCGCCTCCAGGATCGAGGCCAGGATCGTCAGCATCTCTTGCTTTGATGAACTCCGCGGGGGGCGGTGCAGCGGCAGCAGCAGGCTGATTGCCAACAGACGCGCTGCCAGAGCATTCAGCAGCCATGGGGACAGGCCTTGCTTTGGGCTTGTCCTGGGAGTCACCACTGTCGTATTTCCCCTGCCTCTTTGTCGCCAGCCTCTGTCGCGTCTCTCTGGTCTGATTGTGATTTCGCAGCTGCTTGATGTCGCGTGCCATGGGGCCGATAGCATCGACGATGACCGTCTGCACTTCCTTGCCGGTGCGGCTCCTGAGCTCCCCCCACCTCTGGCGCTCGGAGTCCTCGCCCTCTAGGTCCGTGATGCCCAGGGCGTCTCCATCCACGATCTCGGCGACTTCATGGCGGCTTTCACCACGGAACAACTGCGACACATTGATCTGCGAGCATCCAGTCCCACTGGCAGTCGCCTCCGACGTACACAGATGGCGTGCCTGGGCCTTTCGCCCCTGTCGCCCTGCGCAACTTTAGCGCCGGCTCGTCCTGCCACGCCTTAGCTCCGAACGCTGCTGATGCCGCCATGGCTGCCGCCTGCCTGGCACTCCCCCAGCTGCCAGGCCGCCTCGTCCTCCCCGGAAGCACAGCTCCGAATTTTGCTTGGACCCTGCGTCAGGCGACAGCGTTGGCCGAGATGGTGGGGCTCGCTGAACCGCAAGGCCCTCCAAGGCCAACTACGAGATTGGTTAATTTTGAAGAAGTGATATTTGCTGACGATCTTGATGCCTGGAGGGCCCTCCCTTCGTCCACTTCACAGGAAGCAGCGTATATGCAGCTCCGAGCGTGCCAATCATCTTTGCATGAGTGGGGCCGCGCCAACAGGGTCTCTTTCGATGAAGAAAAAGAGTATTTCCATTTGTTCTCTTTGAGCTGATCCAGGAGTTCCGACAAGCTGGCTGCCTGCTGTGGGGCCGTTTCTCGTGGTGGAGAGGTCGACAACTTCGGTTGCTCCACGCGCCCAGGTGCTTATCCCCACTGCCATGTGCCTGGTGGCGACTGGTGCACCTGGCCTCCTCCTCCGGTGCTGTTCGACCATACCCCGTGAGATGACGTTCGCCATGCCATCTCCTGGGGCACCAGGGTGGCGTTGCAGCTGAAGCAGAACGTGCTGCACTTCCAGTTCCACCTGTACCTGCATGACGAGCAAATTAGGAAACCCTTTGCATCATTGCCCATGGGCTCCGACAGGAGCTCACACAGCGAAGAGAGTATCCTCGGCACGGGCTGCACGGTAACGGTGGCTCTGCAAGAGCCGTGTGATGAGAGAAGACTTTGACGCACGGCCAGGGATCGCAGGTGGGGGCGCGCGTCCCCCTTGTCACACCCAAATCATTCAGCCTCATTGCTCCGGACTTGAGCCAAACCGGCGACGGAAAGAGGTAGAGGGAGAAGACGGGGACGAGGGGAGAGGGCAAAGAAGAGGAGGAGCCGAAGCGAGAGAAGAAGGAAGAGCCGCAGGAGCTGGAGGGGGGAGGATGGGGACGAGGGGGAGGCGAAGAAAGCGGAGACGGGCCGAGGCTTGCCGTGCATGACCCGATCACAGGGACGCGAGTCGTCCATTTTCTGCGTTCGTGGCCTCCTCGTCGTCCGCTTCCTCTTCTCCTCCCCATCTTCCTCTTCCCCCTTTCCCCATCCCTCTCCTCATCCACGTCGCACTGCAGCCAACAAGTGGTTGCCAGAAGCATTCGCCATCGAGTAATTGCACGCCTTCGAGCTGGCACTCTGCACGTTCCAATGTGGAGCATGTTGTTGCACCCACGGTTGCCTTCGTTTGTCGACGGATGTCGGTGGGGCAGTGTTCCTTTTCTACCTCCCCCAAATGCGGGTTCTCAAGCAATCCGCCCGAGTGCGGGAACTCCTGCAGTCACGGGCGTAGCGGCGGCACGGCGGTGGCGGCCTGGATCCAGGATTAGCCGGGGCGTTCACTCCCCCAAATGCGGGTTCGTCGCCCGCCGTTGCCGATTTTCTCGTCTTGCTTCTGCATTTGCGTTTCCTTGCTGGCGTTTTTGCAGCGCCACTTCATTTGCTTTTCGGCACACCCAGCCGGCGCGGCCAAGGCCGCCTGGGAGGGGCTAAGGTTGCGCTGTTGTAGACCCCAATTCCAACAATCCAGAGTCCGTCGTGGCTAAACATCACGGCCGGAATGTAGGTGTTCATCATCATCATCATCACCGTCATCATCCCGACCTTGATGATAATGATCATCATCACAATCATCACCATCATCATCATCGTCATGGTCATCGCCATCGCCCTCTTCGTCCTCAGCATCACCATTATGATAGCATCAGCACCACCGTCATCATCATCTGCGTCATCAGCATCATCATCATCACCAGCATGACCATCAGCATCACCATCGTTATCAGCATCATCATCAGGATCATCACCATCAGCATCAACATCATAATCATAACCATCTTCAGCAACAACATCTTGATCATCATCACCAACATCATCATTACAAGCATCACCATCCTCATAATCATCGTCATCACCACCATCAGTATCATCATCTTCGTCAGCAGCATCATCTTCGTGACCTCTGCTACTGCGCCTGCGCCCTTCTCTAGCAGAGAAGCCGCCGCCAGTCCCGGGACGCACCACGGAGGAGATGGACCGGGAGCTTCACAGGTTCATGGTCGACAATGGGGCGTACCCCAGCGACCTTCAGTACAAGGCGCCAGGGGTGCACTGCAGATGGGGCAGAGTGAGAGCGAAACAACAAAAGAAATGTTCTCCAGCGTGGGGGAAAGCAGCATTGTGGGTCGTCCTCCGCGCTTGGGAAGATCAGATGGGGGACGTAAGGAATTGGGACGGCCACTGACAGCAGCGCAGGCCCATTGTGAACGCACTCGCGCCACATCAACCTCTTTTCGTCGATTACATGCCTGCTGTGCGCCATCAGCGTAGACAGTATACCGCTAAGAAGGAGGCCGATGAGACAGGAGGAAGGGAAGAGACAGGAGAGGAGACAAGATGAGGATGAGGAGAAGGTGAGGAGAGGAGACAGTAATCAGGAAACGAGGCAGGACAAGATGAGGCAGGAGGAGGAGGAGAGGACGCAGGACGAGCAGAGGAGGATGAATGAGGGTAGAGGAAAGGACGGGAGAGGGAGGGGACAGGGGAAAGCAGATAACAGAAAAGTTGTGATAAGGGACGACGTGTTCGAAGGAGAAGGGCATTGGCTTCTGAGCGTCACTTGGCAGTCTGCTTCAGCGCGCAGATTTCTGTCGCACGTTACGTGTGTTCAGGACGGTAGTTGTGGCTAGCCCGACGGGGTTTTGCTGTGGGATGGGCTTCCCGCAGGGCTTCCCCAAGAGTGTCATGATCAGCGTGAATGAGGTCATCTGCCACGGCATTCCAGACGACCGCGAGATGCAGAGCGGTGACTTGGTGAACGTCGACATTACTCTGTACTTGAACGGCTTCCACGCGGATACAGCGCGCACTTGGGTCGTTGGGACGCACTCGGCATTTGCGTGGCAACGGTCACCCAGCATCAAACAGGAGTGCCAGGGTCATATCAAAGACGCCGGAGGAGGAGGAGGAGGAGGAGGAGGAGGAGGAGGAGGAGGAGGAGGGGGCATCTTGGGAGCCTCTGGGGACACTCTTCGGGCCTCCTGGGAGCCTCTTGGAGGCATCTTGGGGGCCTCCTTGGGCCTCGTGAGGACCTCGGAGGCTTCTCGGGAGCCTCTTGGGCCGTCTTAGGGTATTTCTGGCAAGTCTGACGCCGTCGTGAGCCATCTTGGGGGCCTCTCGGGCCGACTTGGGGCCCTCTTGGGGTGCTCCAGGGCCGTCTTGGAGGCCATCTTGGGCGTCGTGGGGGCCTCCTGGGCCCTCTTGGGGCCGTCTTGGGAGCCTCTTGGGCCGTTCTGGGGCCACCTTGGAGGCCTCCTGGGCGATCTTGGGGCGATATTTTGGGGCTCTGGTGTCGCCTCGGGTCGTCGGCAGGCCGAACAAAAAAAATACGGAAATCAGTCAGAAACCTACGGAGAATCAATGATGCCGGTCCCTTCGGGCCTCCCTGGAGGCCCTCTTGGAGGCCTCCTGGGCCGCCTTGGAGACCTCTTGGAGGCCTCTTGGGCAGTCTTGGGCCATCTTGGAGCCATCTTGGGCCGTCTTGGTGGCCACTTGGGCGGACTTGAAGGCATCTCGGACCCTCTTGGGCCATCTGGAATGCCATCTTGGACCATATTGGGCGAATGGGCCAGCTTGGAGCTACATGGAGCGGGAAAAACGTTTGCAACCACCTCGAACGCAGCCTTTGGGGTGGCCGGCGGCATCTGCCGAAGCCCCAGGGGGAGTCTCAAAAGAACCCAAAAGTTCCTCAAGTCCCGCACGCCAGGCACCCCTGGGCAAGCCAATTGGGGGCGGCGGATCGAAGGCGCATACGGTGAATCACCGCCGCCCCTTTGCCGTTTGGAATCGCCCACGTGGCCGAGCGTTGTGGCAAGATTGTGCCAAGCTATCGGGAAACACTTGGGGGAGGATGGCGGGAAGATCAGGATGAGGAGGAGCAGGAGGAGCAGGAGCAGGAGGAGCAGGGAGGAGGAGGAGGAGGAGGAGGAGGAGGAGGAGGAGGAGGAGGAGGAGGAGGAGGGGGCATCTTGGGAGCCTCTGGGGGTACTCTTGGGGCCTCCTGAGAGCTTCCTCGGAGCCTCTTGGAGGCATCTTGGAGGCCTCCTTGAGCCTCTTGGCGTCTTTTTGGGGGCTTCTCGGGAGCCTCTTTGGCCGTCTTAGGGCCTCTCTGGGCCCACTTAGGGCCATCTTGGGGCGCTCCAGGGCCGTCTTGGAGGCCTCTTGGGCCGTCTTGGGGCCACCTTGCCGCCGCCCTGGGGACCTCTTGGGCCTTTCTGAGGCCATCTTGGATGCCTCTTGGGCGATCTTTGAGCGATCAGTGGGGGTTCTGAGGCCGTCACGAACAGTCGGAATGCCGAAAAGGAAGAAATACCGAAGTCCTTCAAACACAAATGGGAAATCAATGATTTTTGGCCTCTTCGCGCCTTCCTGGAGGCCCTCTTGGGCGCCTCTTGGGCCGTCTTGGAACCTCTTGGGAGCGTCTTGGGCCACCTTGGAGCCATCCTGGGCCGTCTTGAAAACATCCTGGCCCGTCTGACGCCGTCGGAAGCCGTCTGGGGGGCCTAGCTGGGCCGACTTAGGGCCTCTTGGGATTCTCCAGGGCCCTCTTGGAGGCCACCTAGGGCGTCTTGGCGGCCTGTGCGGACGTCTTGGGGCCCTTTGAGGGCCGTCTTAGGAGCCTCTTAAGCCGTTCTGGGGCCATCTTGAGGTTTCTTGGGCGATCTTGGGGCGATATTTTGGGGCTCTGGTGCCGCCTCGGGCCGTCGGAGGGCAACAAGGAGCAAACGCCAAGACAGCAAACGCCAATATCTGTCAAACACCTAAGGAACATCAATACATTGGGCCTCTTCGCGCCTTCCTGGAGGCCCTCTTGGGCGCCTCTTGGGCCGTCTTGGAGACCTCCTGGGCCGTCTTGGAAGCCTGTTGGCGGCCTCTTGGGCCGTCTTGGAGGCTTCTGGGGCGAACTTGGAGGCAGACGCTCATTCTGATAATTGAGGCGTCTTGGGCTAGGACACCCATGATCGCGATCTGTTGAGGACGTCCCGAGCGAAACGGCCGTTTTGGGAGACGTGGGTGGCGCAGCGGGCGGGCCATTCCGGGTGGCTGGCGCGCTGGGCCTGAGTCCTCAGGGGGGAGTTCAGTGTAAGAAAAAAACAACACCAAACCAGTAGGATCTAGCACGCCAGACAGCCCTGTGGCATGACCACAAGTGGCGGCGGATACAATGGTCTTCGGCCCATCCCGCTACCGTGCGTGGGTTGTGGGTGTGAAGCTTGTTGGATGTTCGTTGGGATCTCGTGGGAGCTCTCGGGAGCCTCTTGGAGGCAGTTTGGACGCCTCTTGGGCCCGGTTTTGGAACCTCTTGGGGCCTTTTGGCGACTTGGGGGCCTCGTGGGCCTCCTGGGCACCTCTTGGGGCCTCCTGGGGACCTGTTCGGGCGGAAAGCTTGGATGTTCGGTTCGTGTTCCCTCTCTTTGGCCTGTTTCGTTGCCCTCTTGAAGCATTGTGGGTGTCTAGGGGCGATCTTGGGGGCCTCTGGGGCCGTCTGGGAGCGTCGGGAAGCCGAAAAGGCGAGAAAGCCAACATCGTTCAAACACATGAGGCACATCTATGGCTTCGGCCTCTTGGGGTCCTCTTGGGTGGCCTCCTGGAGGCCTCCTTGGGCGTCTCGGAGGCATCTAGGGCCGTCTGTGGGGCCACCTTGAGCGGATTGGAGCGATCGTCCGGCGACTCGGGGCCCTCTTGGACAGTCACGGGCTTCTTGGGGCCCTCGTGGCCTGCCTTAGGGCCCCCTCGGGCCCGACAAGAATCCTGCGAGAACACTTCCTGGAGCCCTCGGGGGGCACGCGGGAAGCCCCACGACATGTTGGACTTTGGGGCCCAGGCCCTGGAGGACTCCCGGGGAGTGACTTGGCATCGCTCGGACGTGTGCTTCTTTCCTTTCCCTCGGCGAGGACCATCGAGGAGCATCCTTGATCATTTCGCGAAAAAACCACGCACGAAACCGAAGTTAGCCTGACGCAAGACCCAACCATACGTAGTTGTGAATACCGCAATTGTGGGTATATTCCTCGGTGGCGCCCCCGGGCCACGAAACGAGTGAGGGGTGTGCCAGAGAGGGGGGTGGAACCGCATGCGGGCGCAGCCACTGGGGCCTTCGGTGGAGCTCCCTATGGGGCCACGAAACGTGTGAGGGGTGTGCCAGAATGGGGGGTGGAACCGCATGCGGGCGCAGCCACTGGGGCCTTCGGTGGAGCTCCCTATGGGGCCACGAAACGTGTGAGGGGTGTGCCAGAATGGGGGGTGGAACCGCATGCGGGCGCAGCCACTGGGGCCTTCGGTGGAGCTCCCTATGGGGCCACGAAACGTGTGAGGGGTGTGCCAGAATGGGGGGTGGAACCGCATGCGGGCGCAGCCACTGGGGCCTTCGGTGGAGCTCCCTATGGGGCCACGAAACGTGTGAGGGGTGTGCCAGAATGGGGGGTGGAACCGCATGCGGGCGCAGCCACTGGGGCCTTCGGTGGAGCTCCCTATGGGGCCACGAAACGTGTGAGGGGTGTGCCAGAATGCGGGCATGGGGCCTTCGGTGGAACCACGCGTGTGAGGGTGTGCCGGGCATGCGGAGCCACTGGGGCCTTCGGTGGAGCTCCCTATGGGGCCACGAAACGTGTGAGGGGTGTGCCAGAATGGGGGTGGAACCGCATGCGGGCGCAGCCACTGGGGCCTTCGGTGGAGCCCCCTATGGGGCCACGAAACGTGTGAGGGGTGTGCCAAATGGGGGGTGGAACCGCATGCGGGCGCAGCCACTGGGGCCTTCGGTGGAGCTCCCTATGGGGCCACGAAACGTGTGAGGGGTGTGCCAGAATGGGGGGTGGAACCGCATGCGGGCGCAGCCACTGGGGCCTTCGGTGGAGCTCCCTATGGGGCCACGAAACGTGTGAGGGGTGTGCCAGAATGGGGGGTGGAACCGCATGCGGGCGCAGCCACTGGGGCCTTCGGTGGAGCTCCCTATGGGGCCACGAAACGTGTGAGGGGTGTGCCAGAATGGGGGGTGGAACCGCATGCGGGCGCAGCCACTGGGGCCTTCGGTGGAGCTCCCTATGGGGCCACGAAACGTGTGAGGGGTGTGCCAGAATGGGGGGTGGAACCGCATGCGGGCGCAGCCACTGGGGCCTTCGGTGGAGCTCCCTATGGGGCCACGAAACGTGTGAGGGGTGTGCCAGAATGGGGGGTGGAACCGCATGCGGGCGCAGCCACTGGGGCCTTCGGTGGAGCTCCCTATGGGGCCACGAAACGTGTGAGGGGTGTGCCAGAATGGGGGGTGGAACCGCATGCGGGCGCAGCCACTGGGGCCTTCGGTGGAGCTCCCTATGGGGCCACGAAACGTGTGAGGGGTGTGCCAGAATGGGGGGTGGAACCGCATGCGGGCGCAGCCACTGGGGCCTTCGGTGGAGCTCCCTATGGGGCCACGAAACGTGTGAGGGGTGTGCCAGAATGGGGGGTGGAACCGCATGCGGGCGCAGCCACTGGGGCCTTCGGTGGAGCTCCCTATGGGGCCACGAAACGTGTGAGGGGTGTGCCAGAATGGGGGGTGGAACCGCATGCGGGCGCAGCCACTGGGGCCTTCGGTGGAGCTCCCTATGGGGCCACGAAACGTGTGAGGGGTGTGCCAGAATGGGGGGTGGAACCGCATGCGGGCGCAGCCACTGGGGCCTTCGGTGGAGCTCCCTATGGGGCCACGAAACGTGTGAGGGGTGTGCCAGAATGGGGGGTGGAACCGCATGCGGGCGCAGCCACTGGGGCCTTCGGTGGAGCTCCCTATGGGGCCACGAAACGTGTGAGGGGTGTGCCAGAATGGGGGGTGGAACCGCATGCGGGCGCAGCAACTGGGGCCTTCGGTGGAGCTCCCTATGGGGCCACGAAGCGTGTGAGGGGTGTGCCAGAATGGGTGTGGGAGGGGGAGGAGGGGGGAGGAAGGGGAGGAGGAGGAAGGAGGAGGAAGGAGGAAAGAGGAAGGAACGCGGGGACCGTCTCTTCAAACCGAGGACCCAACAACACAGGTTGGCTGGGAAAAAAACACAGGGAATGGACGTCCGAGCGATGGCGAGTCCTGGGGAGTGAGGGTTGAGGCTTGGAGGGCAAGGCGAAGGACCTGAGAACACACGCCCACCCCGTGTGCCAGGAGGCACGGTGGCGGATGCCCAAAAGGGTCGTGCAGTGGTATCGAAGTGCCGTGCCATGCTCTGCCCCAGACCGCCTGCGGAGAGAAACAGGGGGGGGGACAGCAGCCTTTGCTGGAAGTAAAAGAGTCACCCTCCCAGCCAGAGGTCTCTCTGGCGACTATCGGCGGCCCCAAGATTGTCAACAACGTCCAGAGCCGCGATCACCCCTTCCTCCCTCTTTCTCCGACTCCCTCCCTCCCCCATCCCCAGCTTACACCTCCTGTAGAGGTCTCCTCGCATCGCACGTGCGTCCTCTGACCTGGGGGGGGGGGCACTTGAAGCCGCGAGACTTCCGCGTTTCGGCTTGAACACGCGTTCTGGTACGTCCTGTCATATACAGTCGGGGCCCTGAAGAAGGAACCCTATTCGTTGGGGAGGGGCTCCGCGTTCCTTAAGTGTGTCACAGCTTGCCTCAGGCTTTCCTTCTGTTTTCGACCGGAAACCGAAGGTTCACTTATGGGAAAAAAAGGGGCCCCGTTCCTTATTTAGGGTTCCTTGGGTCAACGCCCCGACTGTAACCCACTAGAGTCGGTCTGCCTCCCTCCTGGTCCTCTCCTCCCCTCCCTGCCCCCCCCCCAGCTCCTCCAGCCGGCATCACCCGCATCACCCCCGGCCCGAGGGCGAGGCCCGCCGCGGGCAGGCGTGCAGGGTGAGCAGGGCCGAGGGTCAGAGGGCGCCGTTCTCTGCAGGACGCCCAGACAGGGGACGTCACGGGGGGGGGCATCAAGGGGGGGGGCGCGTCCAAAAAGGGGGACGTCACGGGGGGACATCCAAAAAGGGGGACGCCACGGGGGGACATCAGGGGGGGGGGGGGCGTGGAGGGGGCGCACCAAGGCGCCGCATCGAGGGAAAGCACCAAGGGGGGTCGTCAGGGGGTGCATCGAGGGGGGGGGCGTCAAGGGGGGTGCGTCCAAAGGGGGGGGCGTCCAAGGGGGGTGCGTCAAAGGGGGTGCGTCAAACAGGACGCGTCAAAACGGGGCGCGTCAAGGGGGGGCGTCAAGGGGGCGCGCCAAGGGGGGGCGTCAAGGTCAATGGGGCGGCGCCGATGGTGGACGTGAACGTCAAGCGGGTGCGTCGGGGGGGGGGGCGTCAAGGGGAGCGTCAAGGGATTGCATGCAGGGGGTGCGTCAAAGGGTGGCGTCAAGGGGGTGCATCAAGGGAGGTGGTTGAAGCGCGGGGTTAAAGCGCGCAGGGTGGCTGCACGCCCTGACGCCCGTTCCCGGGTGTCTGCGGGCCCGCCATGTCTCGGCCCGCAAGGGCACGCGACCGCCCGGGCTCGCCGCTCCGGGCTCGCTGCAGGGCGGCTCGGCCGCCGCAGAGCAGCCAGCCTCAGTCCGACGCCGGGGACACCCCCAGCGGTCCGATCCGATCAGGTCCTCCTCCCGACCCTCGGCGGCGAGCGAGGGGGGGAAGGGAGAAGGAGAAGGCCTTCTCAGAAGGCCCGGAAGTCCCCCGACCTTCTGAGAGGTGTTCGAAGCCTTCCCCGAAGGCACAGAAAACCTGACAGAAGGCGCGAGGGCTTCTGAACAGTCCCGCCGCCTTCGGAGAAGGCCTTGTGCGGATGACCAGGTTTTTTTGCGGTGCCCGCAGTCCGCTGCTGCTGCGGATTGCGATCGACATAATTAGACGCAGGACAAGCAAGCAAGCACATTCCTATTTCCTCCCCCCCGCCTCATCTTCGCCCTCTTCCTCCCAATCCTCCTCCGCATCGCAGGAGAAAGGGGAAGGAACAGGGCTGCTTCCCAACACCATGGGGTGGCCCTTGCGAGGGGGCAGGTCTGTGGCCAGGGCGACCCCGACGGGATCCGCCTGGTGGATGCCACGAGGGAGGCCCTGCAGGCCCTGCGGGCCCCGCGGAACGGGCGAGCGCGGGCAGGCGAGGGCGTGACGGAAACTCAATGGCAGCGTAGCCGAGTGAGGAGGAGGAGGAGGAGGAGGAGGAGCAGGGAGGAGAGAGGAGGGAGGAGGGGGAGGAAGAGGAGAAAGAGGAGGAGGAGGAGGAAGAGGAGGAAGGAGGAGGAGGAAGAGGAGGAAGAGGAGAGCAGAGGAGAGGAGAGGAGAGGAGAGGAGAGGGGGAAGAGGAGGGAGGGAGAGAATGATGAGGAGGAGGAGGAAAAGGAGGTGTTGATGATGATGCTGATGCTGATGCTGATGCTGATGATGTTGATGATGGATGATGATGATGATGATGATGATGATGATGATGATGATGATGATGATGATGATGATGATGATGATGATGATGATGCTGATGCTGATGATGATGATGATGATGATGATGCTGATGCTGATGCTGATGCTGATGCTGATGCTGATGCTGATGCTGATGCTGATGCTGCTGATGATGATGAATCTGATGAATATGATGATGGTGATTATGACGATGATGCTGATGCTGATGCTGATGCTGCTGCTGATGCTGATGATGATGGTGATGCTGATGCTGATGCTGATGCTGATGCTGATGCTGCTGCTGATGATGATGACGATGATGAGGAGGAGGAGGAGAAGCAGGAGGAGGAGCAGGAGGAGGAGAAGGGAGGTGGAAGAGGAGGGCGGACGCTGGGGGGATTGGTTTCTGCTGCTATTTGCCACCTCCGTGAGCGCCTCAAATCTGCGAGACCTCCCCAGAGAAGAGGACCCCCAGAGACCTTCAGGAAATTCTCAAACAAACCTCCTCCTCCTCCTCCTCCTTCTCCCTGTCCTCCCGATCATCCTCTTCCTCCTCGTCCTGCTCTCCTCCTCTTCCTCCCTGCTGTCTTACCGAGTAGGATCCGGAAGTGGCCTCACTGCGCTCTAGGAGCAGCTCCGGCAGTGCGAAACCAGGGCAGGCAATTGACGCCCGCTGACACAATTGCGAGAGGCGATGGTTGTGATGGGATTGGCGGTTGAGATGCGGATGGATGCGCTACCTTCGTGCGGCGTTGACAACGCGGGCGGTCAAGGTTGAACGCTGTCATTGGCCTGGAATCGGACGTGCGGTCCGCGTTATCGGGGAGCCGCGATCGTTCAAGGTTAAACGGTCCACGCGGTGCTGACGCCGACGTCTCCACGATACAAACCGACAGTAACTTGGATGGATATCCAGCTGCCTGCGGCAAGTCCCGCCACCGTACCAGCCCAGCATTCTGGGTGGCGATTGTTCGAGGGGGGAACGAGAGGCCGTCACGTGTGACACTTTGTGTTCCCAGGCTCGGGGGAGCCGTGATGATGATGATGATGATGATGATGATGATGCTGATGCTGATGCTGATGCTGATGATGATGATGATGATGATGATGATGATGATGATGATGTTGATGATGATGGTGATGATGATGATAAGATGGTGGTACTGGCAATGATGATGATGAGGAGGAGGGTGATGATGATGATGATGATAATGATGATGAAGCTGAAAGTGAAGATGAAAATGAAGATGAAGATGAAGATGAAAATGGTGGTCGTGAGGGGGGAAGGAGGAGTTGGTGGAGGAGGAGGAGGAGGGAGAGGAACATGAAGATGAGGATGCTGATGAGAATGGTGATGATGATGTGAAACAGTAAGATGATGAGGAACAGGAGAAATAGGAAAAAGAGGAAGGCAGTCCCATCACATCGTTCTCACTAGGTAAGGAGCCCGCACGAAACCCGTGTGGAGCGACGTGTGGTTGTCTTGGACAAGGCCATCTCGGGTCGTTGTGGGGCCCCTTTCTAGGCAATTTGCAGGTTCTTGTTGAGCCGTGTTGGGACCATCGTGGCACCATCTTGGGCAGTCGAAGGGCCTTCTAAAGCTGTCGCTTAGGTCCCACGGGAGCCACTCTTGGGCCACATTGGGTGCTCGGGATGCGTCTTGAGCCCTCGTGGCGTCCTCGTGTGTTGTCTTTGGACCCTCGTAGGGGGCCTCTTGGGCCGTGTCAGGGTCATCGTGGAGGCTTCCTGGGCCGTCTTGAGCTGACGGAAGCCCGAAAAGGCGGGAATGCGACAGCCATTCACACATCCAATGGGAGGAGGTAATGAGTTTGGCTGCTTCGGGCCCTGTTGGAGGGCCTCGTGGGTTCCTTTTTGGGCACTCTTGGAGGCATCTTGAGTGGAAACTGCTCAACCGCCTTGGGGTTATCGAGGCCCGCCGTGGGGTTTTGTTGGGCATCTCGGGCCACCTTGGTTTGATTGGCTGTCTGCCTGGGCCGTCTTGGAGCTCGGGGCGCGGACGCACCGTAGATTTGCGAGTCGAAAGTACGAAGATGTTGCAGGGTTATAGTACGATTCGAAAGTCGAAAGTACGATTTACGAGTCGAAAGTCGAAAGTACGATTTACGAGTCGAAAGTACGAGTCGAAGTACGATTTACGAGTCGAAAGTCGGGGTTATAGTCTCGGGAGAGGGGGCGATGCGCGCAGGGCAGTGCGGGCAGAGGGGGTGGGAAGCCCAGAAGGTTTCAGAAGCCCTACCAGGCAGCACGTGGCATTCTGACACGGCGCGGCATACCATGGGGGCATGGGGCACGGTGGCGGATTGGTACGGCCTTGCCCCCGTGCGTAGATCAGGCGTTCTGCCGAAGAGTCATGATCGATTGGACTGCTCGTGAGCGCTGGCGGTATGGGGTGAGCACACGTAGTCCATGACCACGTTTGGCGCGAAGCCATAATTTGTCATCCGCATTGTCAGAGCTCCTGATCACTCTCGCGCGGGAAGAGTATCAGCCATCCCGCGCAACACATCAAAGTGGGAACCAGTCCCAGGTACCCCCCCGGCAGTGCATAGCAGGTCCCAAATTATACGCGTTCGCCCCGCCGTAGCATTCCCCCTCTCTTCAATAACCGCCTCTTCGGGTTCACTTCGTTGGTCTGGCTGGCTCTGTGACCCCTACGCGTGTACAGCATGAGTGATATGATTTTGCCGCCATGGTGCTCCTTCTCTAGCGTATCCTGTCATCCTGCGCGTCAACCCGCCAATGCCATTGATACAAAATTGCAAGGTCGGACCGTTACGCAGTACAAACGTTACGGCTTGAAGCTGTTTGGTTACATCGTTGTATGTCTAGATTTCTCTCTCTCTCTCTCTCTCGGTATCTTTCTTTGTTTCTTCTCTTTCTCTCTCTATATCTCTGTCTATCTATTTCGCCATCCCTATCTCTCGCTCTCTCTCTCTCTGACGATCCAGAGAGCTCGCGACGACCATGTTGGTAAAACAGGTCTTAGCCCATTTGCTCACACAGACGGTGATTACCCGTCGGCGCGACGGCACTGGCGGTGTTTGGGGAATCGCCTTGGCTGGGGGGATAAACGAAGAGCAGGAATAGGACGACGACGGACACATTATAGCAGTAACAACCACATACACATGAACTCTCTGAGGCTCTTGCCGATCTCAGACATCTTGGACCTCGGAATGCCTATGCTTGGTGCAGCGTTTTCTTCGTCTGGATGAGGACGAGGGAAGAGAGCACGATCCTCCTCCTCCTCCTCCTCCTCCTTCTCCTCCTCCTCCTGGGGGGGGGGGAAGAGGAGGTGCCACCCACAGGCTGCCGTGGCATGCTGTCGCGACGGCGCCCAGTTCCGCGAGATAGGTGGCCTCCCCCCGCGGGGGCTTCCGCCGCCAATGCCGGATCTTCAGGGGATGGAGGGAGGAGGAGGAGTACGAGGACGAGGACGAGGACGAGGAGGAGGAGGAGGAGGAGGAGGAGGAGCAGGAGCAGAGTGAGACAGGACGGGGGAGTACAGTTGGGGCGCGCATCAAGAGACCTTACGCTTTTCGTCATGGTGCCCTGGGGGTTCTTCGCTCCGCGCGCTGCGCGGTGACTTCCCGCGGCCGTCGAAGAAGCTGCCGCGTTCAGGATGCTCTGGTTTTTTCCTCAGGTGCACCTCGCGCGCGGGTTTTCAGGGTTGGATTTCTTGCGAGGGTGTCTTGCGGCCGCGCCCGCACTGTAGGAGGGATTGTCAGGAGTGAGACAGGACGGGGGAGGAGCAGGATGAGCCAGACAGGACGAGGGAGGAGGTGGTAGGGTAAGGGCGTTCGGAGGTCCCATGCGTCAACCACTCGCTCCAGGTGACCTCCGCGTGTCAATATGGATGCAGGGCCCCACCCCCCCTTGAAGCTGGCCGGACTGGGGTCTTGGAGGGGGGTCTGTGGAGGGGCACTTATTTCACACGCCGAGGGGTCCCAACGAGTCGGCGAATTCGTGTCGATGTTCCCTGCGATAACTGAGGGGCTAGCTGCCCAAGTTTGCACGAGTTTGGCGTCCTCTCCTGAATCATCCTTCCTCCACCTCCCGCCTCGTCCGATCCTTTGGCTGCGCCCCCATCTTTCTCCCATTATTGTTCCCAGTAGATCTCTTGCTTGATTTCGTGGTTCGGGTCCTGGCTGCGTCTGAGGCGGGGGAATTGCTGCATCTTCCCTGGCGGTGGCCCGCGGTAGGCCAGCATGATGTTGGGATTCGTTTCCTCCTCTTGGTCACATGTTCTCCCGAGAGGTTTTGGCGTCGAAAGCGTTCCGCGTGTTGATCACATGTTGTCTGGCTCGGCTCAACGTGGTGGACCATGATGTTCGCGGTAGTGGCGTTTCGCCCTCGGGTTTCTCGCATGTTTTGTTGGATCGCGTTGCATCGCATTCTTGCTGCACCGGAAGGCAAGAGGACGACGGCGACAAGCACGGAAATGGGAGGAGGGACGGTAGGCGGGCGAGGGGGAAGCGCGCGCGGCGGCCGTTTTTCATTGCCAGAGTATCGTTTCATGTGTTTTGTCCGTCGCTCCTCCCTCTCTCCCCCGCCCTCTTCCCCGCTCCCGCCCCTTTCTGACTTCCCTCTCTGCAGTCCTTGCCTGCTTGTGCTGCGGGGGACCCCCCATGCCACTGAAACATCATAGTTTGTCATAGCTTTTCGACGGGTTTGGGATGATTTGGGTCCCAGGGAGGGTGGCTATTCTGGACCATCTTGGGCCATCATGGGGTTACCATTGTTTTTTCCTGCCCCACCACCCCCTGCTTCACCCTGGTCGCCGTCCTTGTTATCATGCGGCTCTTTCCTACGTGTCCGTATCCCCCCTCCTGGTACTCTTCCTCATTCTGCTCTCCGCCCTTCTTTCTCCCCTCCACCGTTGTTTCTCCTCCCTGCCTCCCTCTTGTTCACAGCTCTTCCTATTCCAGACGTTTCGCGTAACACCGCCAGCCCATCCAGAGACGATGCCTGGGCGCCTTGCCCTGATCAGGCGTGTCTGCGTGTGGGGGAGCACGCAGTGGTATACAGGCTGGGAAGCCGCCATACCCCAACAGGGGGTGGATGGAGGAGGGACCGGAGGAGGAGGAGGAGGAGAAGGAGGTGGAGGCGGAGGAGGAGGAGGAGGAGGCGGAGGGGAAGGGGAAGGGGAAGAGGGAGGAGGGAGGAGGGAGAAGGGAGGAGGAGGATTAGGCGGATGAGGAAGAGGAAGAGGAGGAGTGCGAACAGAAAGGCCAGATGCCTCTGGGATGCTTCTCGGGGCCTCTTCGGATTTCACTAGAGAGCTTCTTGTAGGCCTGTTGGGGCGTCTTGGTGACCTCCAGGCGGTCCAGGGGGCCTCTTGAAGCGTCTTGGGTCCCTCGGGGGATCCTCTTGGGGCCCCTTGGGGGTATCTTGGGAGCCTCTTGGGGGCATGTTGGGATCATCTTGGGGGCTTCTTGTAGCTTTCTGGGCGCCTTTTGGGATCCTCCTGGGCCACTCTGGGGAGCCTTGGGGGCCATATTAGGGGCAATATTTCTAAACGCTTCGCGTATCCACACCAGCCCGTCCAGAAATGAGCCCCAGGGGAGTGGAGGTGATGAGGGAAGCGGGGGAGCATGCAGAAGAACAAAGGGCGGGGTAAGCCGCCATGTACCGCTAAGAGGGGGAGGATGTAGGAGTCGTCGTCGGAGTAGGAGGAGGAAGAGGAGGAGCAGGAGGAGGAGGAGCAGGAGGAGGAAGGGGAGGAGGAGGAGGAGGAGGAAGATGAGGAGGAGGAGATGGAGGAGGGCGAGGACGTGGAGGACGAGAAGGAGGAGAAGGAGAAGGAGGAGGAGGAGGAGGAGGAGGAGGAGGAGGAGGGAGGAGGAGGAGGAGGGGGAGGGGGAGGGGGAGGAGGGGGAGGAAGAAAAAGAGGAGGAGGAGGAGGAGGCGGACAATAGCGAGCGTGGGGGCCTCTTGGGCCGTCTTTGGGGCCTCTTGGCGGTCCTGGGGGCCTCTTGCGTATCTCGGGGAGCCTCTTGGGGCCTCTTGGGAGTCTCTTGGGAGCCTCTTGGAGGCCTCTTGGGCGCCTCTTGGGGCCCTCTTGGGGCCCTCTTGGGGCGCTCGTGGGGCGCTCTTGGGAGCCTTCGGGGCGCTCTTGGGGCCATGTTGGAGGAGATCTATCAAAGAAGGGAGGGTGGGGGGAATTAGCGTTGCCCCTCTAGAGTGCCTCTTGGGCCCCCAAAGAGGCAAAATCCTTCCAAAACCTAGGGAAAATCAATGTTTTGTTGCTTTCCCGCCTTTTCGCTTTTGGAGCCGTCTTGGGCCATCTTGGACGCCCCAACGACCCGCGGACCCCCCCGTCCAGGTCCAGGGGAGGGGGTAGGGGGAGGGGTAAACCCCTCCCCGAAGGGGAAGAAGGGGGTTGGAAGAGGAAACTTTCGAGACCACCGACGCCCAGAGGGCTGGTGGGATTGAAGGAATTCGATCAAAGAGGAGGGGGTACTTAATCAGCGTCCCCCCCCCCAGGACGGCAAAATGGGCCCAAAAATCAGTGGTGGTGGCCCTCTCGCCCGAGGACATCTCGGACGCTCCAACGCCTCACACTCTGAGGGCTGGTGGGGTTCCCTCCTGGTCCCTCCTCTGTCCTCTCTCCCTCCCTATCCCTCCTCCTGTCCCTCCCTCTCTCCTTCCCTCCCGGCGCTCGTAACCGGCGGGCCAGCTGTTCGAATCGGTGCGCTTTCCCTCCCTCCCTCCCCCCATCGCGCCTTCCTGCCTCCCACCTCCGCGCCTCCCTCCGTCGCCCCCTCGATCACTGCATGTCTCCTCCCTCACGCTTTGGTCACAACAGGCTGGATGGCGTTCGCCTGTATCAGGTCCACCATTGGTTGTCGCACCATACGTGGGCCCGACGCAGGCTGAGTCCATCTGTTTGGACCCCGCCCCGTCACCGTCGCAACGTGTGCAAAGTTGTGTAGGAAGAGTGTGTAACTGTGTCGTCCCCGCCGGTCGGTGTCGCACCACTGGTCCATTTGCGCATGTATCTTGATTCATGTGCTGTCTGTCTGTCTGTCTGTCTGGGCGCCGCCCCGTCGCTGTGTGAACTTGAAAGCCCGCATAGGGAAAATCAGATAATCGAATTGTCCCTGGCCAGCCGCTGCTGACGGACATCAAGTTTATCGTCTTGACGCTTCGCGTATTCCCACCAGCCCAGCCAGAAGCAGATCGCCAGGCGAGTTGCCTAGATCAGGGAAGTGAAGAAGAGTGCAGTGTAAGAACCGTCTTGGAAGCGTGTTCTCGGAGGTCTCTTGGAGCCATCTTGTGGCTCTCTTGGGGTCATCGCGGAGCTTCTTGGGGCAATATTGAGGCCCTCTTGGGGCTCTCTTGGGGCCTTCTTGAGACCATCTTGGGGCTCGGTGGGGGGTCTGGGAAGCCTCTTGGAGCCATCTTGGCCCCCCGTGTTTCTAAACGTGGGGGGTAGGAAATGCAGGTCCCCCCTTGGAGGCTCGAAAATGGCGTCTTGAGACTCTCTCGGGGCGCTCTTGGGGCACTCTTGGGCGCTCATGGGATTGTCTTGGGGCTTTCTTGAGCCCCTCTTGGTGCCCTCGTGGGCCGCCTTGGTGCCATCTTGAGGCCTCAAGAGTCCATCGGAAGCGAAAAGGCCAGACGGCAAACACATCGTTTTTGCTCCTAAGGTTTTGAAGCCACTTTGGCCTCTTGGGGGGTCCTTGGAGGGCTCGGAGGGCATTTGCAACCGTCTTGGGGTCGTCTTGGGGCCTCTTAGATGTATGTCGGAGGCTATCTTGAACCATCTTGAGGTATCTTGAGCAATATGTGAGGCCACCTTGCGCTCTCAGAGACCCACTTGGAGCCATCTTGGGCCAGCTTGGACGCTCCAACCCCTCGCGGGGCGCCCCTAGGGTAGTGCGAGGGGTAAACCCCTCCCCCGAGCAGGGGAAGGAGGGAGCTCTCGCAGAGAGAAGACGACACAACTCGTTAAACCACCTACGCCCAGAGGGCTGGTGGGATTTACGTTCTACGTGTTCGCTTGATCGGCACATCGTCTTGTGGCGGTTGTCAAGACGGATCCTCGTCGCGCCGCACGGTGGGGTGACATATAATGGAACACTCGTTAAATCACCGCGCACGCTTCGCGGGAACCTGTAGGCTTGTAGGAATGATGTGCTGTTGATGTTGTTGGCGACGCAAGTGGTGAGCCGTGCAGGCTAGAGCACCAACGTCTGCTGAAGGTGCACACACAACATTGTCTGAAAGTATGGTCTTTGCCACCCTCCGGCGCAAGCCCTGCAGGCTAGGCACAAAGTTTGCTGAAGGTGTGCACAAACCCACGGCCTGAGATTCCGATCGTTGCCGCCCTCTTGCGTCGGAGGCACTTC